GGGCCCATGAACAGACATCAAACTTCTCTGTGGGGTAACATACAATTATTTAATCATTAAAGAGCAAAAGCAACATCAAATCTAGGAAAGACAACCCTAACTATGTCAGTGGGGTATGATACAATTATTTAATTATTAAAGTAAGAAACAACAAGAGATCTAGGAAGGACAACCCTAACTATGTCAGTGGGGTAAAATACAATTATTTAAATAATTAAAGTAAGAAAACAACATGAGATCTAGGAAAGACAACCCTATCTATGTCATTGCCAAATTGACACATGTCTAAAATAGAAATTGTTGTTCAGATCTAGTTAAGAGGTTTGTGATACCCAAATGACATATCTCATTGTCAAATGCCATCATTTTATCTTCTAGAAAAGATGCAGTTGAGGATGAAGTCCTCACATTATGATATAATAATATGGTAATTTATTCTGTTATCCATTTACTACTAAGTAAAGCAAAGTTTTTAAAGTTCAAATTAAATGTTGCATGCTAGAAAGAGAGTACAAGAACAATGCCATTAAAAAAATCCCAAACAAGATCATTACCAAATGGTTGTGCCACCGGGTGAAACAGTTTAATGGTGCCAGGCTTCCTGGATGCCTTCAACATGATCTTGTTTGGTACTGTGCTGTTGTAACGATGGATCCTCACTATGGTGTTGTTCAGATGGTTGACCACATAGAGGTAGTTCTGTAGTATGCTCATACCAAACACATGGAACACCTGATGGAGGGAAGCAACTCATTCTAAGCATTTGCAAGAAATATCTCATTTTGCATTTCCAGCACATCGATAAATATTCTTACCGAGAGATTTTAAAAATATAACAATTTAAGCACAAGACATCCAAAATGTTTCTCAACAACAAAAATCAGCAATCATTTTCCATAAAACTTCACATGATGGCACGCTGGTCAATTATGAAAAATTGGGGAAATAAAATGTTTGTTTCTTTCATCTTTCGGCCCTAACTTTGAGGGACAGAATTCAGCCTGATCAAGCTTATCTCAGGCATCTGTGCTGAAGAGAGTAGGATCAAGCTTATCTTAGGCATCTGTGCTGAAGAGAGTAGGATCAAGCTTATCTTAGGCATCTGTGCTGAAGAGAGTAGGATTAAGCTTATCTCAGGCATCTGTGCTGAAGAGAGTAGGATCAAGCTTATCTCAGGCATCTGTGCTGAAGAGAGTAGGATCAAGCTTATCTCAGGCCTCTGTGCTGAAGAGAGTAGGATCAAGCTTATCTCAGGCATCTGTGCTGAAGAGAGTAGGATCAAGCTTATCTCAGGCATCTGTGCTGAAGAGAGTAGGATCAAGCTTATCTCAGGCATCTGTGCTGAAGAGAGTAGGATCAAGCTTATCTCAGGCATCTGTGCTGAAGAGAGTAGGATCAAGCTTATCTCAGGCCTCTGTGCTGAAGAGAGTAGGATCACGCTTATCTTAGGCATCTGTGCTGAAGAGAGTAGGATCAAGCTTATCTTAGGCATCTGTGCTGAAGAGAGTAGGATCAAGCTTATCTTAGGCATCTGTGCTGAACAGAGTAGGATCAAGCTTATCTCAGGCATCTGTGCTGAAGAGAGTAGGATCAAGCTTATCTCAGGCCTCTGTGCTGAAGAGAGTAGGATCAAGCTTATCTCAGGCATCTGTGCTGAAGAGAGTAGGATCAAGCTTATCTCAGGCATCTGTGCTGAAGAGAGTAGGATGTATCCTCCAAAGTTTTTGTTGTTTTCCAAATGCATTTTGCTTCAAATAGTTCTTCAAGTGAAGGGAGTTTTGTTAGTGCAACAAGATTAATGTACACTTTGTTAAGACCAACAAAGTTCCCCTTGACCACAACACTACACTTCTGTTATGAGTGCTTTTATCTACACTTACAATGGTGCTTGGCCACAACGCTACACTTCACTAATGTGTGCTATCATCAACACGTATAATGGTGTCAAAGAATATCCCTAGCTGATCATTTAAGATGATAATGCAAAGTTAGTAACCACTCACATCGATGCCCTTGGCTATAACAATCCTTTTATGACCGATGTAGTCCACTCTCTCAATGACGTCAAGGAATGAGTCTCCCCAGTAGAGGTGGGAGTTGGCAATGTCAGCAGTTAGTCCATTGGGGTGGACAATCTTGATGCTGGCCAACTTGAGTGGGTTGGAGCCGTCCAGGTCAATTCGTCCCACATGAGCGAGGTCATTTGATGACCAGTCCGAATAGAACAGATATCTATATGTAAAATACAAATAAATTTCTAGATGTAAAGCCATACATCCGTCTAAATGAAAGTATGGGGTGGAGCAGGTATGGGGTGGAGCAGGTCTGGGGTGGAGCAGGTATGGGGTGGAGCAGGTATGGGGTGGAGCAGGTATGGGGTGGAGCAGACCAGAGCCCTTCAAGAGCTGTAAGTGGCATTCAGGATGATAACAATCAATATTTTCTACATTCACAAAAAAAGTTAAGCATGAGTATTTGAGGACAGGTGAGGCAAGTCATAGTTAATTCAAAAAGAGTATCAATTTAGCAATATAAATCTTTGTTGTTTCAAAGCTAAGTATGTTAATCTTATCTTAAGTACTTTTTAAACTAGATGGTGGGGGCAGGAGGGGGGGGGGGCGCGACCTTGTCAGCCCAGCAAGAATTATGCTTGGGGAGGAGGTATATCTTGGTGGTAAAGAAATCAAAGAACTGGCAGACTGTTAAATTATTTGTCTGTCAAAATTAATCATTAAAAAAGATATTTAAATGGATGTCAAGCAAAAAAAAAAATTAAGCTTAACAAAATAGAAATAGTGCATTAAAACAAACTGTACCCTTTGCTTGCATCAACAGCCAGACTTTTTGGCCTCTTGATACCCGACGTAAGGACAGTCTGGCAATAGCTTCCGTCAGAAGTACAGAAAAAAATGATCTCTTTAAACTCATCAGCAAAGTACCAATTTCCTGACAGCCAGTCCTTGGCAATAGCCTTGACACCTAGAGGTTGGAATATTAATTGTCTTAGTTTCTTTTAGTCAATTTGGGCTTTTCTTTAAAAAAATTTTGTTAAAGAAATAGAAGAATTTTAAAATCCTTTTTATAACACTTTAATTATTTTGTTAACATTTTTTTCAAGTGGAAATTAAACAACCCCTAAAAAGAGTTTTTCATCTGAATCCTTCATAAAATTTAATATTCAGCAAAGGGGGAGGGGGCAAAACAAATTTGACGCATTTTATAAGAATCCCAATTAGGCTCGCTATCTCCCACTTTTTCATGTCACCGAACAAGATTAATATTCTAATGACCCACCCGCTTTTACACCGCAGATTTATTTCACCAACAATTTTAGAAAAACAAAAGAAAATATTACGACTAAACTCACTAGCGATATTTTTTAAAAAAAATTTCCTTTAAACTTGAGTGCAGTTATGTGGAACTTTATTTTATCTTTCCTTTGAAAAACAGATTTTTGGAGGCTGGGGTTGGAAGGTGGGGCTGAAAATTTGAGAGAATTTGTTGTCATCTGCAATGAGTCTATGTGCAACTTTTCAGCTGGATGGTTTGACAGGAAGTGGGTCAACTAGCAGTCCAAAGATTTTGCCACCCAGACAGTCAGTCAGCCAGCCAAAAAACAAAAGCAAAGTTAATATAAAGGATTTAAAAAGTCTTAAAGATGTCCATAATGAAATAAACCATTAACAAATAGTTGTGACAATCCTGCAGTTAAGGCAGATCTGAGTAGCTTGTAAATGATTGATTGACAAAATGAGAGGGAAACAAAAAGTCAAATAAATCTCTGAATTACAAATGGATGAGACTTACTTTTCAGGGAATACTGAGTCTTGACCTCCCATGTTGGATAAACATCACGGAGACTGCCACATGATAACTGGGCCATGTCTGTGTTGAGAGCATAGGTAATCTGTCCAAAAATAATAATAAATCTGCAAGGGTGATTGTATTGAGAAAATTAAAAATTTATGTTTAAAAATACTTACATCTTTTTTGGAGTTGGGCACAGCTGTTTCCAGCTTTGAAAAAAGCTCAGATATATATTAGTGCCTTTTAAAATTTTTTTTTAGATTATGTGTTAAGTACTAACCTAGAGAACAATGCTACACTTTTCTAATGTCAAATAGATCAAAACACATTTACATGGATTTCCAATGCCCTTTCATTTTGAGTGCTATAATCCTATTGAAACATTCTTAACATGCTTCTTGCCCAGTAGAGTGTAGACAGATCTGGGACGGCTGGTTTAATGACTTATAGGAGGCACAACTAAATAATCACTGCAGTGAAGTCATTACAAGAAAGATCCAAGTGTGGTGAATTTTCAAAATGGCACAACATAACAGAAATCCAGTCTAGATTGCCTGCCGCGTCTTTTGACAACACTACAAACATTTTTAAGTTTTCCCCAGCTGTTAAATTCCTTAAAGAACCTGCTTCACGTATTTAATGGGCCAGCTTAAAATTGTCCAGCCTTGTACGAAAAGTCTGTTGAGCCAAATGATGTGAGCTTGCAACTAGTGGCCCCTCTCTTTATTGGATGCCTAAGCATCAACACCCAGCAGATGGGGTTGTTTCTAACAGCACCATCCAGTGTCGAGGACTTGGTATCCTTACCCAGCAGTTGGTGCTGTTTTTAACATCCACATTCAGTGTGGTTGACTTGGTATCCTTACCCAGCAGTTGGTGCCGTTTTTAACATCCACATTCAGTGTGGTTGACTTGGTATCCTTACCGATGCAATAGTGCTGTTTTTAACATCCACATTCAGTGTGGTTGACTTGATATCCTTACCCATGCAGTGGTGCTGTTTTTAACATCCACATTCAGTGTGGTTGACTTGGTATCCTTACCCATGCAATGGTGCTGTTTTTAACATCCACATTCAGTGTGGTTGACTTGGTATCCTTACCTATGCAATGGTGCTGTTTTTAACATTCACATTCAGTGTGGTTGACTTGGTATCCTTACCTATGCAATGGTGCTGTTTTTAACATCCACACTCAGTGTGGTTGACTTAGTATCCTTACCCAGCAGATAGTGTTGTTTTTTACATCCACATCCAGTGTTGTGATCTGTGAGCCTGCCACTTCGTAGTTGTCAACAGCCAAACTGTCCTCTGATGTGAAGTTAAGCATCTGCACATTGAAGTAATTGGCAAGTGCAAATCTTGGCTTGATAGATTTGGCTGTGACAAGATAAATAAGCTTGAGTTAAAACATATTATAAAAGTGCCTACGAAATTCCACCTTTAATGATGAATGTCTGTTTATTTTTTCTTCTTTTATTCAACATTAAACTTTACTTTCAAAGTCTGATTTAAAAAAAAAACTATTTATTAGTTCCTCTTCAAAGTATAAATTGTAGGGATCAAGCTATCTTTTCACCACAACTTTGTGCTGCACCCACTGAAACCACTGTTGAGCATTGTGTTACCACTCACCTGCAATCTGACATGAACCCTTGTCCACCAAATCATAGCCTGCTGCACATGAACACCTGTAGCCACCATCTGTGTTTTCACACTTCTGATCACAGAATCCAGAGTAGTTACATTCATTTAAATCTGGTGAAAAGTAAAAAAAAAAAAAATTTTTTAAAGACACAAATTAGGAGAGGCAGGTAAATTATGAAAGAGTGTTTCACTCAATGTTTCAAGACATGGGGAGTAATGTGCTGTTGACCCTTACGTCATGACCCCTAGAGAGTTTAAGTGTTTAAGTTCAGATGTACCTGTACAGTGGGTGTTGTTAAACTCCTTCCCTTCACCACAATAACACAGGGGGCCTTGAATGGTTTCTTTACATTTATCTGGACATTTCTTAGGTCTGCAGGCTCTATTTACTGCAAAAAGAAATGGACACGATAATCATACACATATTCCTCTTGATGCCGAGTCATATTGTCAACTAACTCATTAACACAACCTCATATACAATAATCGCATACATATTCCCCTTGATGGCCAGTCATATTGTTGACTAACACATTAACACAGCCCATTAGCCTCCAACTCATATTTTGGCATAAAAGATTTTGTCCAATACAACTGCTATTAGAAAACTTTACAAAAAAAGTTTAAGTTAAATTTTTTGGTTACGATTAAACAAATATTTGATAAATTTCCATATTTTATTAAGTACAACGTCAGCTTCTTCCCCTGAATCATGCGCTATACACTTGAACAGGTTTACAAAACAAAAAAAAATATTCTTACTACAATGAGGACCCTCATCAGCTTCGTCGAGCAAACAGTCCACGATGCCATCACAGACTTGGTTCATGCTGATGCACCTTTGTGTCTTGGGACATCGGAAGCTGTTGGGACACTTAAAGGTGTCCACAATGTTACCTTTGGAAGGTTGAGAGAAAAGAGACACCGTTTAATGTAACATTCAACCCAAGTAACCCACTGGTGTATCCCATGGGGTCAGTCTGTCCCAGTGAATGGTAGCCTTTATTTACTCTGCACTTCCAGATACTAATCTGATGGTCAACAAACTAAAACTTTTGCCAGATTATTTTAAATAAATCATTAATTTTAATTTTGCATATTATAATTACATTTTATAAAAGAGGAAAATGTTTTAATATTTTCAAACAAAGCTTCCTTTTCTTTTGTGTGTATGCTTTACCACAATAAGCATAAATGTTAATTTAGCTAGCGACAGCCCCCAGTGCACTAGATGATGAAACATTCCTAAGATCTTAAACTGAGAACTGTGCATGCCCTTTTAACAGGGTAATAGAATTATTGCAGTTAGTCAAAGCAGTTACTCAGAAAGCTCCAACTAAAAATTAGCGTTTCGGGGTATGTGATATTTCAAGACATATTTCCATTAAATACCTGACAAGACTGGGATAAAGCCCTTCACTCAGAAGAATTAATTTCTTTCTTATTAAGGCTGAGTTTCCTCCTACCTCAATGGCCATTACCTTTATGTCATCATTACCTACAGCTTATCTTATAAGTATGTACTCCACAACTTACTGTAAACAATTAATTTTGAGATACAAAAGTTTAACTGTTAGTATCTAGAACACACCCATAATAAACCCAAATTAAACACTTGACCAAAAAAAAATTTAACTAAATTTTAAAGTTAGATAACAAACAACATGTCATTCAAATGCTACTTTAAAAAAAATATAGCTATAAATATATTTCTCTACAAAGTTAGGATATACAAGAAAGTAATATGCTCATTGTTAGATGGCAATCCTAATGTGAACAAATATAATAGCATGCTAGTGAGCAATCAATTTCCATTACCAGAAGAAAAAAAGCCATTATAATATATATGTATTATATAAATAGATGTGCCAATCAGGAAAGGAGTTTCTTTTTATTAAAAAATGCCAGAAAAATGTATAATAAAATCAAGCCAAATTCATTCTTGCAATATAGAGAGAATAAGGAAAAATAATGTTGAATACCTACAGCCATGTCTTTTTTTTTTTTTATTTAGTTGAAATATAAGCATTTTCAATCTCAAGTGCTATCCCTTAACCAGTTGGTTAAAACAAAATATTTAACACATTTTACAAACTGAAACCAACAGCAGTAAGAGTGAATGGGGTGGAGGGTGAGAAGGTTATAAAGGGAAGACAGTCTGGATTGTGTCCTGAGACCCAAGGAATGAAGGTTCTTAGCTTGAACAGAGCTCACTGTCTCATTCTAATAATGGATATTGAAAGTAAAGTCAGCATGCAGAAACATACACAGAGCTGCGTACGTTTACTTTGAATTCAAAACATACATAAAACCAGGCCCATACATAAAATGAACAAGGCAGTTACAATAACTAAACACATTTTTACACCGCACTTCACGATGCACCGACATTGCCTTCAGCATAGCAATTACAATCAAATAAAAATTAAAAAAACAACATGTTTTAAAGTTAAAAAACCAAAAATAGAAGTCAATTGTTGTTCATGAGAATGTCATTCAAAATTCTATTGATGATTAAAAGAAAGTAAGTTTGGTCCAAGACCCCCATGCTAGATTTGATGATGTGTTCCAAAGGAACACAACTGAGAAATCAATGGAAAATTATTTTACTCATTTTTTTTTCTTCATCAGACCTTGAGAACAAAATGTAAACAACAGTTTGAGAATACAACCATCATTCATTACAATAATCCAATATAAGACAGACCAGAATGCCTCATTCCAGATGTTGAAAAGAAAAATATATATATATTATTTTGTTTTAAATTACCTTCCTTGTGCATGTGTCCTAAATAATAAAGCAACAACTCATCAGATTGAGACAAGGTCAACAAATTGAGAGACAAGATTCATGCTAACTCAAGGGTAGTTAACCAAGTCATCAGGTGAATAATGATATTACAACACCACATCATGGGAACTTGCTCAACCTTAAAGAAAAGGACTATTTGAAATTCTACCATTAAGATAAAGCCTGGTCAATTAACTTTGGCCACCTGAACATCAAACCTTCTGAACTCTATGATTGGTAGAACATGTTTTTGAATCTAACAAGTTGGTCTGAATGAATACACACCAGACCTGAAACGAGATTCTGAATTTATGTCCATATCAGTAACATTCAACAGAACACATCCATGTACTGGACACTGCATAGTGAAAATAGTAGAAATTGATCCCAAGATGAGTTCAACTAAGTGGAAAAGTTAATTTAAATTAAATTAGTTATTCTATCCTGTTTCCCCCTTGAAAATGTCTCCAATTATTATTATGTTTACAATAGGGTTTTAAAAAAGTAGGTTAATGCAGACAAGGGAAAAGTTAGATGTAATCCACTTAATCTTTTATTTAATATCCGTTATCATGTAAGACCAGTTTCATGTCTAACAACACAAGCAAAAATTTGAGAAAGAAAATCGCTGTAACCATTTCAATGTAAAATTATTGAGATAATATGTGAGAGACTGCATTCAAGCTATGTGAAGTAAATAAATAATGTAACAAGATATGTTGTAACAAGATATGTTTAAGCTTGAAAAGAAATGACAGGACAATTAAACCGATGGTTCGGCTAGATGCCTTCTTCAGCAGACAAGACAAACAATAAACAATAGATAATTTGAATAAGAAATAAAAACTTGTGTGTTCAGAAATCTCACTAAAGACAATGCAGCTCAATGTTCAGATCAGAAAGCCAAACATTGAGAAGGTAAAAAGCTGAAACGTCCATTTAATTATCTTGTCTTTTCTTGGCAAGGCTAAACTTATCTTGTTCCACTATTTATTTAATATTATTAAATTTTAAACTAAAATCATATTAGAAAGAGCAGTATATGAATTTATATATCTATGTATACATACATCTTTAATAAAGCTATAAAATTCCTTTGAAACATACCTTTGAATTTTATAAGGTTTAATTAAGAAACTAGCTACAGTAATGTAAGACTCTAAGTTATTTAAATGGATAATTTATGCTAAAGTCCTTCTGCATTTCTAAGTTCTCTTTTTTAAGTTAAAAAGATAAAAATCTTCTATTTTAACATTTTTATTTTAAAAAATTAAGTGTCAGAGAAATAGAGAAAGGGAATTTATTTTTAAAGCTGTCCTATAGACAATTGCATTCAGGGTAATTTTTTTCCCCTTTAAGAAGTATATAAATGCCACATTGCTTATCTGGTCATACTAGCCATAAAGTCAACATAATATAAATAAGTGATAGCTTACAATTAAATATTCAACTGGACTGAAGAGACACAGAGGTAACATAAATGTGAAATTGGTCTTTGGTATAATATGGCACTGGCAAGGGTGGGAATAGCATGGGATAATTTATTGTGATTGTTTTAAAATATATCAATAAGATACTAATGTTAAAGAAAGCAATCATTCATCTTTACAGTCATACTTATTGTTTTGTTTTTTTTAATTTACTTTTTTTTAAATGTACGCTATCCCCCATGGTAATGGATGTGAATTTATATTTTTTTTAAATTAATTTGTTGATGAAAAAAAAAAAAGTAAAAGAAGTATTTAAATGAATTACTATTAATGACTCAATCTATTGAATCAATCTGACCACACCTGTAAAACTACAATTACACAGACATCCTAACTAGATAAGACTTAAAATCAACTTTTAACTGTTTTCAACATTAACAAGCCCCTTTCTTTCCCCCAAGTTATTCACAAAGTGAAAATAAGGCTAAAATATAATTTTGTCCAGTTATATTTTATTGAAGCCTGTACTATCTGTTCTCTAACTAGTTTATAATTTAAATCTTTTAGATATTCCCCCAAAGATAACAGCCTATAAATGAATGTGGAAAGGAAGAATTGTTTATTACTGATGCTCAGTTACAAAATAATTGGTTTTGTGGATCGATTCTATTCAAGTACACACAAGAAATAAATATTTATATAAACATATATAATCATCATGCATTTTACACATCTACTACTTTCAACTATCCCTAGTCCATTATATCAGTCAATTAAACAGCTGGTCTATGAGTGAAAGCATTGTTATGTTAATGAGCTAAAGACAAAGTAAGTAGAACTTATGACTAATTATCCATGTTGGATTTCTGTCTGCAAGATTTAAAATTTTCAAAAACTCGAGTCTTGACTTAAAATAAATCTTTTAAAACAATTAAGAGTCTTTCAAAATAAAACCAATAAAGATATTTATTTTTAAAATAAAATTATTTTCCAAGCATTGGTTTATATTTTAAATGAAATTTATTGTTAATAAATTTTTAAATGAGCGTTTTTATACACCTTGAGAAAAATGTTAATATTATCATATTTATGTAAATTAAATAAAGGCAGCATAGCAAATATCATTGTGGGTGAGAAGATTGCAGGGTGAAGACTAAATGCACTATATAACAGCTGATCAACATTTGTCTTATTATTACTATTATTATCACTATCATTATTACTAATATTAAGTGGGGTATATATTGGTGTAAAAGAATAAACAGATTATAATATTTGTGGTAGTTTGTGATGTGTGGAATACAGACCTCGAGACCACGCTCCTTTTTTAGTTTTTGTCCGACCTAAGCAGCAAAGAAGAAGGAATGTGTGAAGGAAATTATAGGGAGGGGAAAAGTTTTTTTTTTTTTTTAATGACTTGACCGAAATTATAAATGGTAATTTGACTTGGTGCCAGCAGCTACACATGAAGAAACCATTATTGTATGCCTTCAATTTGTTATGATTATTTTTTTCAGAATCAAGAAGATCCACATGATCCTTAAGGGTAAAAAAAAAACAACTGTGCTATCAACAAGTGTTTAAATTGATTCATTACTTGATGGGGAGAGCTACTTTTGTGTTAATTCAGATCAAATGTATGGGCGCATTAAACTGCCCATAATAATTTGGCTGACACACAAAGTGTCAATTCAGTATTAACATCACATGATCTAGCTCATCGGTTTTAGGCTTTGCATATTTTTGTATAGAATGATCAGTGATAGTGCCTAGAAGTCAGCAGTGCCAACTCCACCATTATTTGCAAGCCACCTGTATTGGGAAACCTGGAGAGATCCATTTAAAGATGACATTGCTAGTAATGACTACTGTGTGGATATTGTTTTCATTCAAACCATACAAGCTGATTCTCTTTATTTCATCTCAGATGGGTTTTTTTTAAAATGAAATCATAACATTATTCAACCCCAGGATAAGTTTGCTTATCCCTAAAGAAAACAAAATATGCTGTATTTATTGGTACTCTTCTCTTAGTATACAACAGTGCTTGGCATCAGAGGGTGATGCTGGTCGTTGCTATAGTTCTTAAAAAGTCTAGATCACAGCTCACTGTATATCATCAATGAAATCTCAACCATGATCTGGTTTCAGTTAAAAGATGCCATGAGATGCCAGTTTTAACCATAACCCTCAACAAGATATCATATCTAATAAAATCATTTTTAGGGATAGTAGCAACTAATAATATTGTAACATAATTGAAATGATTGAGATGGAATTGACACATTGTAGCCTTTTTAAAAATTTAATGAGATGGCTATTATTTGGCAGGCCGCAATCATAATGATAGAGAAGAAATGGAGAGATAGGCATAGCTAAAGATAAAGCTATTTCAGACATTACTTCTCTTTGAGTTCTTCCGACCTGAGGAGAAATGTATACAAAACTTCATGATCGATAAAATTGTAATTAGGTTTGCCAGCTATCTTCCTCCAGTTGATTCCAACCATAATTTATAATTCTAATGGTGAATGAATTATTTTGTGACTGATTGGAATAGATGTGAAGATTGCACTGAGATGTTAAATAATAAAACATAATGATGGACCATTTGAATATTGCACAAGGAATCAGGGTAAGAGAAAGATTCTCCCCCACCCCCACAAAAAAATATACATATAACAAATTAATAATGAAAGCAATCAACCCAAACTAAAATCAAACTATTGTGATAACCTGGATGCATGTGCTCTAACTCTGTCCGCCTCATTCTGCTGGAAAAACAAAAATGGCATTTAAAAAAAAAAAGTGCTGTAAAATCAATGGGAGGATGGGCTCCTGTCAACCATTTGGTGCTCTAAACATAAAATACAGTGCAACCATTAGGGAAAAAAAAAAAAAAGATTTATTTAATTTTTCTCACTCTCTGAGGAGCCTACGAGCCAAGTCCATTTTGAAGTAGAAAATGAGAAAAGTAAACATACATATTGATACATAAAAAAAAAAAAGGCATTTAAAAAAAAAAAGTGCTGTAAAATCAATGGGAGGATGGGCTCCTGTCAACCATTTGGTGCTCTAAACAAAAAATACAGTGCAACCATTAGGGAAAAAAAAAAAAAAAGATTTATTTAATTTTTCTCACTCTCTGAGGAGCCTACGAGCCAAGTCCATTTTGAAGTAGAAAATGAGAAAAGTAAACATACATATTGATACAAAGATTTAAGAGGAGCAGCCACATCAGTAAAAAGTGTTAATTTAAATTACTGCTGGCAGCCCCATGGGTCCGACATCAGTAAACACAGTGTTAATTTAAATTACTGCTGGCAGCCCCATGGGTCCGACATCAGTAAACACAGTGTTAATTTAAATTACTGCTGGCAGCCCCATGGGTCCGACATCAGTAAACACAGTGTTAATTTAAATTAATGTTGGCAGCCCCATGGGTCCGAGTCTCAGTAAGATGTGTGAGATACAACACTAAAGATTACTCTCTAGTATGTAGGACACACCACCAGATCCTGTGAAGTCAAAATGATTAAGGAAATGGGCAATGCCATCAATTTTAACATTAATGACTCTATTTAAAACAGAAAGAGATATGCTTATTAACAGAAAATTACTATGTCAAGTGGGTTAACAAGATTACAAAGTTGGACCAGACTGTGTGGTTGAATTAGATCACGATACATTAGTTTTATACCAATACTTGATGCACAAATTGCAGTTTAGTATTGATTTTTTTTTAAACAAAAAGACATGCATGTCCAAAGGAGCTTTTATCAATAAAGAGTTCATGATCATTCCCTTTGGAAATTTAATCAAGAATCGGCTGATGTTTGGTATTCTATCTGCAATATATAACATTTTTCAAAAATGAGATTAATACCTAACTTATTATTTTCGAATGCATTACTTTTGTCTTGGACAGCTGTTGAATTCACTTGACTGAGAAGCAAAAAGAGAGTGGTGCCACAAACTGTGTGCATACTTCAAGTTCTAATTGTTGTATCTGTTTGGAAAGTTCATGCAGTTTCACAATCCCCACTTAAACATTGGACAAATTGAAAGATCCATGAAAATTGTACTGGATTCAAACTGGAAACACTGTGTGTGTCAATAATTTATTGGGACGTATTTGAAATAGAAGTTTCCAAGAATTCCTTTTCTCAGTTTCAAAGCAATATCTGTGTTGTCACAAAAGTTCAGTAAATAAATAGACTACTATTCAGAAATATAATTAAAAAATTGACTATTTTTTCCGAAAGAATAAAACTAGGAAAAATGACTTTGTTGTTCTTGACAAACTCTTACTCTTTTAATTTTATTGGCTCTAGCACTAGTAAAATGAAATTTATTCACTTAATAGTCAAATGAAATTGATTCACTTAACAGCAAAAAAGAATGTTTAGGCAATTTTCTAAAACTAATCGAACAGCTTTGGGCTTCATGCATGTTTTGAGATTTACTGAAGACATAAAGTTGTTAATTTAGTTACACCACCGACACAAGCAAATGCTCTATTTCAATTACTCTAGTTCTCACGATACAATAACATGGCTAAGATTCTCGTATAGAAATGCTCTAAAAACAAACATTAGTAAACTGTCATTCCAAATCATCCCTTTCTTTCATACCTTGAAACGTCATAACAAAAAATTAGCCTGGAGAGAAACAAAATCCATTGACACTGCTGATTGTAAGCTTATGCTATGCTGGGAGGAGGACTTACATTCCTCTGGGGCCTCATCTTCCCCCAGGTCACAGTCCTTCTCTCCGTCACACTGCCAGGAAATGGAGATGCATCGTAGTTTGGAACTGCTGGAACACTCAAATTGTTTACTGTCACATCGGGAGATGCCTGTGGAGTAGAAGTTTAAAACATGTCAGCTCATAGATTAGTCACAAATTATATTCTCAAAGTTGGCATAGTTTGTGTAAGTCTTGTTATCAAAGTAGCATCATCCCATATAGATTTTTAGCTTTTAAATTTTTTATTAAGTTTGTTACTGTCTCTTTAGTTGTTTTTTTTTTTGGTACTCTCTCTATAACAAAAGTTTCTGTGATGGTTCTTCAAACAATTGCTATAGAGTTCCTTGAGCTATTCCAGAAAAGCTTGACTATAAAGATTTTACTGTAAATTCTGTATTCAGGATTTTTTAGGGCCAATGATGATAATGATAAATAAATATGAATGTCACAAACAAATGAATTGAATAAACCTGGGATTCCAAAATTTTATTTTTGAAAAAAATAAAAATAAATAATAATAATGTAAATATGACCATTCCCTTCATTGTTATTTTTTTCCCCTAAACCTTTTGCCTAAGCCTAAATGAAATTTTATTTTTGGAAATATTGGACAAGAAAGTCAAAATGCAGCTGTGCGTAGTGTTCACAGAGGATTACTCATGTATCATATTCATATGATGAGAGCAAGACATCCAGCAATAATTAATATCGGATTGCAAACACACTGACAGGGTGACAGTCTGACTTCTCGTAGATGGCCGAAAGTCTCAAACACTTTCAACCAAAACCAAACATAAAATGAAGGGAAGCGTTATACGCAGTCGGCTAGGAATTTAGCCAAATAAGACTTATCAATCGCTTGTTGGGCAATTTAAAAAAAGTATTATGCGTAATGAGCTGCATGACGGGTTGTTTTGTACTAGAACTTTTCATGTGTTGAACGTAAAATTTTAATTGAATTAATTTTAATTAATATTGAAATTGACGATAGCAATAGTATTAGTATTAGTGCTAGTGCTATTATTTGTATTATTGCTTGTATCTTATATATTATAATTATAAGTCAAAGTCTACATTTCTTAGTCTAAACCTAAGTCTTAGATTTTTTTAAAGGCATTTCCATGGTCTAAGTCTAGTTATGTATTCTGATTGATTAGGTTTTTATATGTCATGTTGCTATGACTATGTCTATGTGGTTGGTTTTACTGACTAATTCAGGAAATACATTCTATTTATCTTTTTTTAAATTTTATCATTTATGATTTTTTTTGTTTGATGACCTAAATGTAACAGTTTTCAGCTTCCATGCAAAACTATAACTGTGTGAAAGTATTACACTGCCCCCTCTACAGAACCCCCTGCCCCTACAGTACTCTCAACCTATGATTATTTTTATTACTGTACCAGTGAAACATGATTTTATCTGACACAAAATTAGTTAACAACACAAACATATAATTATAAGTATAACATTATTAACATTACATTGGTCAAGTTAATAATTCTTCTCATGTTTTAACATTTTTTAGCCAAAAAAAAAGTAAAACAATAAGCCTAGTTGTTGCTTCATTCTCGAGAAAAAGCATAGCAACTAACGCATATTCATGGCTTGCCGTTGGCTGAAATTGAACTCAAGACCACCAACTTGAGGTTTGGTCAGATTAGACCATTCGACCACACAGTCACCCGATTATCAATACACCCTTATTGATTGATACTGTAACACAGGAAGAATATAGACGTCACGTGACTTGCCGACTGCGTATAACTCTCAGGGTTATACACAGTCGGCTGCGCATAACCACTTCGTAAAATGAAAGTTAAATTTTCTGTTTCAGCCGAAACCAAAACCACGCCAAAAGTGATAAAATGGAAACTTTCGCCGCCGAAACCGAGACCGAAATGAGGTCGGCCTCTAGTGGGAATAGCAGGCAGGAGGCCTGTCCGAAATAGTAGGGGAGAGTTGGGTGGGTTGTCATACTTTGTACATTTTGCTGAATTTTTATTTAAACGAAGTAAACTTAATTCATGTAACTTTAATGTGATATGAGTTGAAATAAGTTACAGGATAGCAAATTTGAAATATAGCCATTTTCTAAAAGGCAAGGTCTCCATCGTGTGGCATCCAGCGCCACCCACGGCGATAGTGGTCACATAGTGTTGGGGAGATTGTCGCATCATGTTTATATATTTACTTCATTTTATGCAAACGTATTTAGACAAAATAAAGTAATCGATAACTTGTGTTGCTCAGTCTACTTACATGAACTTTATTTTGTCTACAGTGTAATAATATAGGCTAATTTAGGTTAAACATGTTAAAAAAAGCTGTTTTTGATCATTTTTTGATATATTGAATGAACTATTGTAAAAGAGCATAAATGGCGTATTCTACCAACTGGTGCTTGGATTCATCAGAACAGACTTATCATATTTATTGTGTGTCTTAATTAAAAGAATGTACAGGCATTTTAAACTTTTTTAGACCAACCCCCCTATATATCTTTAAGTGATTAAGTTTAAAATGTCAAATTTATTGTACATTCAGTAATGCATAGAAAAATCTCAGTCAGTATTGCATAGAACAAGCTCAGTCAGTGATACACAGAACAAACTCAGTCACTAATGTGTAGAACAAAGTCAATCAGTTATGCATAGAAATGCATTGAACAAACTCCATTGTTTTCGGCTTTGAACACTCCATAAGAAACCAACATGTAATAGTCCAATAGTAAGCCGAAACACAAGTTTACAAAATACTTGGATTATTTAAAGAAAAACAAAACAATAATTTAACAGCCCATCTAATGTAATTGTGATGTTTAATGAATAAATTTTTTTTTTTTACAAAGTATTACCGGTATCTAGAATGTTATATTTAAAATTATAGTTGAGAGGGATTACTTTTTTACACTCTTGACTACAAGCCCCTTGCCCATGAAATTTGCGACCAGCAATCTCACCGTGGATAATTTACCGTTGAATTTTTGTTTTACAATGAAACGCTCTAGAGTAAGAAAATATCTTTATAAGCTAAATCTAAAACGAATAATTAACAACTGAATATATAAAAGAAAAATTATAAATTTAACTTGAACTTTTTTTTAATCATTAAATCACAGTCGTAGAAAATCTAGCTTTCAATAGCAAAAAAAAAAAAAAAAAGTTTTCAATAAATAAAACTAAAAAAAATAATTAACAACTGAATATATAAAAGAAAAATTATAAATTTAACTTGAACTTTTTTTTAATCATTAAATCACAGTCGTAGAAAATCTAGCTTTAAATAGCAAAAAAAAAAAAAAAAAGTTTTCAATAAAGTATGCAGAGATACTTTTTGATTGTGCATCTAACTCGGCATTTAAATAGTGTGCAACTTTTCAGGCCTTTAAAATATACGCGGTGTGACAACCATCCCACCAGACTCCTTACCCACCTAACCCTCTCCCCTGGTCAAAATGTCAACTGAAGTGGATTACTTCCCTGAAGCGGTTCATTTTGGTACTTACTGCAGTTGAGTTCATCGTCCCCATTCAAACAGTCCTTGTCTCCATCACACAACCACGACGGCGGCACACACAACGGCGCCTTCTTCTCAGATGTGTCACTGTTGTCGTCCTGGGGACCAGAGCACATATACAAGTCTGGTGTGGAGCACTTCTCGGGACCAGCTCGGTTGTCTGGAAACACAAGAAAGTAACGATGCAACTAACAACATACCAAGAGTATAGTTATGATCACGTCGTCAATGTTGAGCTCATGATCTGGTAGCATTGTACAGTGTATTGGGAGGTGGGTGTTGGGAGGTGGGTGTGGGGAGGGGATGCCACGCTCTGTTAAGATCGGACTTTAATCCCCGGGGAAGTCACTCCAGCCACCAATCCATCCACTACTACCAGCTTTCAGTGCCAGCAGCCTCCTAAGATGCTTGACTCGTCCTAACACCCACAAGACCAAGTGACTTGACTTCAAAGGTCAAATGGGGACCGAAAGGAACTGGAATTTAATTTATTTTTGGAGGAAGAAAAAAAAAGTGTGGGGGGGGGGGCGCCTAAGCTTGAAAAACACTGATCATTGATGCCAGTAAGGGAAAGAAAACTTGAAATTAAGCTGGAATGTATCAAATAAGCAACCGATAGGAGCATGCCAAAGTAGTTTTTTTTTTAAAAACCACACTGTGACATCATTGACTTTTAATTTACAACAGCTTCATAGAAACTGAACAAGAAGACGATAAAGAACAGGCCGAAAGGAAGTGTCTTGTGGGATCCTCCAGGGAGATTTCGTCTGTCTAACCTTCTATTTTTAGCCCTAACACCACGTGGTCGTCATACAAAGCAAAACCATGTAGCTCATACCTTTATAAATAATGAAGTTGAGACAGAGTCATCGTTCAGTCAAAGATTTTAAATTTTAACAAAAAAGTTAAAGGTTTTATGTTATTAATTAGCTCAAGAAAACAGTAGTTTAAAAAGTTTTTAAAAAATAGAAAATAATTTGTATCAGCTCGCTCCATTGTGAAATACTAACAGCTCAAGTCAACTATTCATACCAGTTGGGCCATCTACCCCCACCCACTGAGTGGTAGCCACCCCCCCCCCTCATCTTGTATGCATTTGATTTTATTTTATACTGTATCTTTTTCCCCCTCTTTTTTTTTTTCTCTAGACCTTCAAAATACGTCTTTTTCCATACTAGAGGGTTTTCCCCCGTCCAAGCCTGGCGATAATTTTTGAGTCGTCCCCCCCCCACACACACACACACACCCACACCACCAACAACAAAAAACGACACACAAAAATAAATTATTTCCATACACGAAAAAAAAAAACAACAACAGCAACCAAATAACAACAAGTAACAACAACAATCCACAACACACAAACAGCTTTAATTTCCTGTAGCACAGTTGTTGTTTTTTAATTCTTGGAACAGTTGTTGCCTGACCTGGTGGTCCACTTCACTAACTGGCTCTTAAACTTGATAACCCCTGGGCCAGGGTCTGCCCAGTAGAAGAAAATGTCGCCCCCATGGGACCACCATGACAATAGCGCGACTGTGTAAGAATGAGATCAGTTCATGCCTGCCGACCACAGAGTCGTCTCCCCCTTGTCCCATGGACGGAACTAAGGCGAGAAAAAGCAATGACAATCAGATTACCCGAAGCTCTTCACGATCGTCCCAAACAGCGGCTAATCTATTTATAGAACAAATATGTTTGGGAGAAAGAATCTCATTAAGCCGCAGCTAAACACTGCCACCCGTAGGGCCGCTATCTGACTGGCGTGACATTAAAACGTATGTGCTGGTCAACAAATGCGTGTCACTAGTCCTGTTGGACAGCCATCTTCTGACCATGAAAAGTACTGCCAATAGATATCGCACATTATTTCTTAACTCCGTAAGAAATCGAAAACGTTCAACGTGGATGTGATTTTTTTGTTTGTTTGTTGCTTCGTTGCCTTTTGGTTATGTCTTCTTGTTGTATGTGCAACATTTGTTCTGCCTTTCCGACTCCGGCACTGTGTTAGCAATCCTGCCCTGTGACTCGGGACAAAAATTTGGCGAAGTGATTGTGCTTCTCTGCCACAAGTGATGTTTGAATGTAGCGTGGTGAAATCAACCGAGACAGGGAAGCAATCAGACGCGTGGCGGTGCTTAGTCACCCGTGGTAAACCTATCACAATCATTTTCCCGGAGTTCCACACAGTAATTACTCGTGGGAAGTTTTAGTATTCAATTACGCTATGGAGTTTACGAATACCCAAACCAGGGTTTTATTTATCTCGAATATGGCGTTTAATGAATCACTGATATATCGCTTTAGAATTCCTTCATATGGCATTTTACCAATCACTAATAGGGCGGTTTTTCTCTTCCAATTCCTAATACTCTAGGGCTCTTGGGCGTTTGGATAAAAATAAATAGGGCATTTTGTATTTATCTTTAATAATGCTCTTTTAATTAATCACTGGCATGACACTTTATTAATCGTAATAGGGCATTTTAGAAGTCACCCATAGGGCGTTTAATAAATTTATGAGAGGGCGTTTAATAAATTCATGAGAGGGCGTCTCAATAATCCTTAACAGTGATCTCTCGTGGGGTATTTTATTAAAGCAACTGATTTTAATAACCAAAAATATATTTGTATTCAACATTGTTTTAATAAACAAAAAAGACAATTTATTAAATCCTGATTTTAATAACCAAAAAGACATTTTTATTAAACACTGGTTGTGCGTTATATCATTAAAAATATGCAAACAACAAAAACAAAAAAGACATGACATGACATGACATGACACGATAAAAGAATTGGAGGAGTAATAACTACCTAGGGCAGTGCCTCATGGATGTGAGAAACGTGTTTCTATTGACTGAGTTCTATTTGTGGGCACATCCAGTTTGTCTTGTAAACACATGTACGGTTAAGCTCTTACATAAACGTGATCCCAATTATAGCGGCTGCTAGCTGGTGTTACGACTTGTCTAGACGTAGTTAAGCAGATGCAACGCCAGCAATAATATACATATGCATATGCATGATACATACACAGGTAAGACAAGTCAATGTCAACATATAAATTAAAAGCTTGACAGTGTGCTATAAATAAGGTGTGGTTATGCAATGTTAAACTATAATAGGAATTTCCGAAATTTTATAGTCATTCTAAACAACGCGCTCAATGAACAGGGAATTGCCGATATTGTCATGTCATTCTAAACAACGCGCTCAATGAACAGGGAATTGCCGATATTGTCATGTCATTCTAAACAACGCGCTCAATGAACAGGGAATTGCCGATATTGTCATGTCATTCTAAACAACACACTCAGTGAACTGGAAATTGCCGATATTGTCATGTCATTCTAAACAACACACTCAGTGAACTGGAAATTGCCGATATTGTCATGTCATTCTAAACAACACACTCAGTGAACTGGAAATTGCCGATATTGTATAGGAGCCGAATAGCAATACTATTGACAACTGGTTAGACATACCAGTAAAAGTAGGTTACCTGAAATTTGATCGAAAGAAATTTCGTAGACGGTAAATTGATCGAAGGTAATTTGATCGAACGGAAATTTGGTCGAATCTTTTTTTCAGTTCACACGTTAAAATTTTCGTCAAATTTCTTTTTGAGCGCACTATACTATATAGTAAACCATAATAATATGTCATTTAAAACCTGTTACAAGAGACTTCATAAAATCAATCGAGGAAGAAAAAAAAGATTAGGTCACATAGATTTTAATCCTCAGTATTATGTGCAAAGAAGCGACAGCTGCTCAAAACAACTGCCTCAAAGAAGCGACAACTGCTCAGATACCACTGTCTCAAAGAAGCCACAACTGCTCATAAGCCAATACCACAAAGACGCAACAACTGTTCAGAAACAACTGCCTCAAAGAAGCGACAACTTCTCAGATACCACTGCCTCAAAGAAACGACAGCTGCTCAGAAACCACTGTCTCAAAGAAGACACAACTGCTCAGAAAGCAATGCCTCATACTTTATTTAAGACGGCTGAATAGTTCTGACGGACAAGTTTAATCTCCCTATTCCATTTCTGGCCAACAAGTTTAAGTATCGCACATTTATCAGACTCTGCGGGTTAGTCTACTAGAATTAAAATGTTAGAATGTATCTGTTAGAATTAAATGCAGACAAAATTACTTGCTATTTATTTGGACAGTGTATTTTAATAACACGAGAAACTAACACTAGCTAGGTGATGACATAGACTTGAAAAAGGATACTTTATGTTCCCCAAATTTCAGAGTACTGTGGACCTTAGAAACAGAAGAGTAAAGACGCGCCTCTCACGCAGAACGAACCCCGACTCCCGGCTTCACTGGGAGATTACAGTTACTTGCAGAAGTGGACACCGCTTGGAATGCGGAGTGGTCATGTCACGGGTATTGTGATTACCTCTCTCAGCACTGTGACTCACGACACCCCTGTGTGTCACATGCATCAATATTGCACACATTTTCTTTAAGTTATACATCGCTTAGTAATATTGGCATAACACCGACCTGGGGTAACTTTGTGTCCAGCCAGTTTTTTTCTTTTGTTTTTGCAAATGGAATTACATGGGGGAAAGCATCACGCCTACAATACAAGCTTTTACTTTTAGCGATCTCTAATCCAGTCATGCAAGTCTTCGATTAGTTTCAAATCTAAAGAAATTTTTGCATTTTCTAAGTACCGACATACGGTCATTTTTTGGTTATATTTAACCATGTTATGAAAAATGACAAATAAAAAATGGTCTCATTAAGACTATATTACATTACCCAATACTTCTTCTTCTTCTATATCTTAAGGGCCCACGATCAAATTGATCATTTTGGCTCCTATGCATGTAGATGGGATTTGCAATTTTTATGTTCCTGGTGTTAATGAGGAAATTTCACTGATTTCCAGTGTCACTTTGTGAGGGAATCATGCCCTAAGGGTTTGAAGGCTTGAGGCAATAGACACAACTTTGTGTCTAGTGTTGTCGCCTCAACCGTTTCTTTTGAAAGATGGTTCCAGTCCCTGATTGTCTTTGGGCATTGCCTGTCATGGCCTCGTCGCTGTCTATGGGGGAGAGGGACGAGTTTCTGTTTAATACTGGAACAGTGGACCAGCCCATTATTTATCTTGTACATCATGGAGAGCCTGGATTT